CATGGTATGGAATGTCCCTTTGGCCAGTTTGGGTCAGCTGTCCTGGCTGTGCCCCCTCCCAGCTTCTTGTGTCCCTCCAGCCTTCTCAGTCGGTAGAGCATGGGAAGCTGAAAAGTCCTTGACTAGTGTAAGCACTACCTAGCAACAGCTAAAACATCGGTGTGTTACCAACATTATTCTGGTACTAAATCCAAAACACAGCACTGTACCAGCTACTAGGAAGAAAATTAACTCTATCCCAGCTGAAACCAGGACAGTGGCTCATTTCAGAATGGATATTTCAGTGTTTGTGAGCTGTATGGCTTTTGTTCCAATTATTTCCAAAGTAATTTCAGTGCAAATTTTCTATTCACGTTCATATCTGAAATAACTGTATTTTGAGTCCCTTTCTCTACATAGGCATACAGAAAGAGTTTTGTTGATGAGTGTGTAATATTTTCTTACAACCTCAATGGGTTGAAGTGATTATTCTTACGTTATTTTTACCATTGTCGTGTTGCCTTACTGCAGAAGGGCAGTGTAGCCCTTATGACATTTGAAGTAATTGAGAAAGTTCCTACTGAACTGAAGGGAAGCAGAACTATGCTATCCTGATGGAAGTTAGTAGAAGTGTGGCATATGGAGTGAGCTAATGGTATGATTTCATGTGGTGCTGAGATACTGGAATTGCAGCTGACTGCATTAGCATGTGTTTCACACTGTGTTTAATGTATGAGAAGGCAACCAGTCACCCTTTCAACACATTAATGAAACTTTATTTTGGGTGAAGAACATTTGTCTTAAATGAAGTCCAGGAATGCTGAACTGATGCTAAATGAAGAAAGAAAATTCTTTGGTGAACCAGGTTAGCAAGTGCTACCCACTTTAACTGGGGACGTTTCCCCATCGGTAGCCCATGTAGCTTTGAGGTTGTGTCCTGGCATCAGTGACCTCCGTCACACATATCGATAGTCACTGAACAAGCTCTCTTCATCATCAACCTCTTTCATGACAGCCATGCCTTACCATTTCAAGTAACACTCCTGCAACTGGAAATCTCCCAGTATGTTCACAGCTGAAAGAAGAGTTATTCTGTTTTTGATGTTTTACAGTTCAGTGCATTTTTTCCTTGAGTTAATTACAAGCGTTTTATGGGTAACCTATGCCAGAATAAGCTATTTTATCATTGTTAAATGCTTGGTGGTAACTCAAGGCATGGGTATGCATTGACAAGTTTTCTCTTGAAAGAATCCACAGGAGTTAGATCAGCAGATAGATCACCCTGGAATTTTAGCTAGCATATACCCTGCCTCTTCTTGAGTCTGTGAAACTGAGCATGACTAACCTTAAAACTGTCCACACTGATGTCTGGATAGGAAGTCCTATGTGGGATTCATTTTTCTAAGATCAGCAGTGCACATATGGGTGCACCCTACTTAATCATGTGTGATACACATGGTACAAAGAATAATCAAGAATATCATCATCTACTCCATGAAGTTTATTTTGTTTGGTGACATCTTTCTTTTCCATTTCAGCGAGGAATTCTGGGTCAAAATTTTTTTTCCTTAAAGCAGGATTCTCACTTTCTAAAATCAAGCCTAGAAGCTATTAAACTACCTCTGGTCTAACACTTCCTTGTCCTAAGCTTTTCTCTCAAACCTAGAGACATGCTTTCTCACAAATATCGCTATAATGCAGGAACTACTACTACTTTGCATTACCAGTTAGTGTACCTAGCTGTAACTACTGATTTTCTAAAGGTGTGTTAAAAAAAAAAAAGAGGAGGACGATAGGCAGAGGTTGGAAATGGATCTTTTCTCCAGACAGAATGTTTGTGCCAGTACCTGTTACTGGCAGGTCTTGGTGTTTTGCTGTTGCCTTCTCAAGGAGTTTCCGGTTCCACTTAGAATAAATAAATAGCTCTCCTCACCAATCTCCAGCTTCTCAGTTACACCATGGGTACCTCTTGCAGGTGAGAAGTACAAATATGTCTCCCAAGCCAACACTGGTGAGATGCTGAAAGTTGATGATGGCCTGCAACATCAGAGTCACTGCATAGCGCTGCTGGGAAAACCGCAAATGAAGATGCTGCCCTTTCTGCTCAGTGCTACAGGCAATGTCCCTCAGTTCTGCCAGTCTCATTATTCCAGATGTAGTATGGATTTTTAATGGTCAAGCCTGCAGTCTAATTTTGACACCAGACAACCAACCTGAGGTACAGCTCTCTGGAGAGTCCATCAGGCAGTGGAGAAGTTGAGAGGACCTCAAGAAGCTAAAGAATTCGTACGTTTTCCTTTTATCATGAACCTGAATCCACCAAAGATACATGGCCGTGCATATTGCCAAATTTCAGAAGCAGGCCAGAGTGGTGAAGTCATTCTGTGATGCACTCTTAAGACTTGGGTGTGTCACCAGGACCATAGGAGAAATACCATTGAGGAAGAACAAAATAGTAAGGACGTTGCTCATGTGTGTATCTTACACAGATATATTTACTTTTCCTTTTCTAAGTAAACCTATGTGCAAGAACCATCCTCACAGATACAATGGAGAAGTTGCAATGACTGATCATCCAAAATGTGGAGGACCAAAGCCCACACCCTGAAGTCGCTGTGATAAACTCTATTGCTGCTCTTAATTATTGCTGCACTTATTTTTGAAACAGCAAAACCACATGGGCCAATTTCATCTTTAGCTTAGCTGATTTCATGGGAGTTGATGATTTTATTTCAACAACTAATTTCATTTGATTAATTTGTAGGCATTTTTTTCATCTGCATAATTTGGGTAGAAGAAAGGTAGGAAAAGTGGGTAAGATTAAATGCTCCTCAAGTGCTTTCTTTGTGGGAAGAAGCTAAGTGGGAGATGCAGCCTTCTTCAGTGTTTTGGCCTATTAAAGCCATTACTAGAACGAATGCAACTGCAATCTAAGGTTCCCTTTACATTTATGCCCCACAGATGCAGCCATGTTCGAACTGATGCTGTAAGTGATTAAACTGTGACTTAGTGTTCATCATCTCAGGTGGAGGAATCCCAAGAGGCGGTCACCAAATCAGGAAGCTCTTTTTCATGTAGAAATGGGTATGTGTTCAAATCAGAGCATCTTTAGAATATATTCCACAAATGAATGTTGACTGTGTTTTCCCACTGATGTTTAAAAAGTGCAGATCCTAGGTAAAGTATTAAAAAATGCATTGAAGGGACACTCTTAGCATATTCTTTCTAATTCTTTAAAATACTGCTTGCAGTTATCCCTAACAGTTCCTGAATACTTGACACAGAAATATTCAGTGAATATTTCACATGTATACAAGTACATAACAAACAATTCTCTTGTATTTGATCATATGCTTGTTTATTGCTAAGTTGTTTGTATGTTGGGAGCTGTACATCCCAATTTTTTATTGTACGCTTACTTGTATTGCTTCTAGATGCTGGTCTTTCTTCACTGGTTTGTTATTGTTCAGTTGTGCAGACACTGTGCATTTGTTTTAGGGAAAGCTGAAGGATTCCACTGACACTGCAAATAGCTACAGTAAACAGAACAGAAGTAGGAGCATGTAATTCTAATAGCGCCTTTAACACCAACCCAACCATAGTTCACTGCCCTCCCTCCTGTGAGCTGATTGCTCTTGACTCTGGCAATTGCTTAGTCTCCATTAGTTTCCATTCTGTCTTCTTTCCATGTCTTCCTAAGTTTTCATTATAATATTTTGTGTGCATGTATTGGCTTGTTGATTTCTTTATGTTTTGCTTGACTGCATACGCTTGGTGTGCATTAGCTACCAGAGATGCTATTCTGTCTTCCACATTTTGTGTACTCAAATGGAGGCGATTGAACCTCTTTATTGATGAGAATGGGGATATATGTGTGTATCAATGTGTCAGTAAGCATTAGGTATTGGACATGGCTGTTTATTGGCAAAGGAATTTGCTTCTAGACATATTAAGAACACCAGTTTCCAATATACACTGTTCATACCTGCACTGTTAAGGAAATACCTTATGAAGCTGTAAGTTAAACACTGCCTGCTGGTCAGGTGGATGAGGTTCACAATAATTTGGCACTGGTTGTCCTTCACCAGCAAAATATGGTAGTTTTTACGTGCAGTTACAAGTTTAAAGACATTTGCAAAACTGCCAGATTGTTATTATCAAAACAGTAATTAACTGAAGTGTCATGCAATTAAACCAGACCAGCATGTGTCTGCCAGCCTTGGGCAGCGCTAGGAATGAAGTCCCCAGTTCAGCACAGTACTTCAATATGCATGTAGCTTTAAGCATGTGGGTAGTCCCCATGAAGGCTGGCGGTAGTTCTCAGTGATCAGAGGTCTAGGAAACTCAGTGTCTGGGGAAAGCTGCAGGAACAGGAAAAGCTTAGTCTGCTGCTGAAAACCCTAATGGCATGTATGACGACAGCATTCAAATACATAAAAGGTGGTGGCAAGAAAGGAAATTAAGTTACACTGAGAATGGAAGAGAGGAAGTGAGAAGAATCCTCAGCTGAAGCAGGAGAGTATCTCTGTTTTCGAACTTCAAGACATTTTCTAACAGCAAGTATAGCGAGATATGGACCAGATCACCTTGGGAGGCTCTAAAACCTCATGAAAATTTTTAAAAGTCTTTTAAAGAAAAATCTATCGAGAACAGTTAAGGTGGAGCTGGGTCTTGGGACAGAGAGATGGACAAGATACCTAACTGAAGGCCTTTTCAGCCTTATTTTCTACAGTTGTATAATTTTATGTGCTTAAAATTGAACACATGTACATCAAAATAAATGTATAAAGACTCTCACAGAGTTCTTCATAGGCTTAGGCAAATGTTATTCTGTCAGAAGGGGGAGCAGTGGATCAGTGTTCTTACTGGGCTCCCTGTCAGTACCTCATCTTTCCAAAAAACTGGATTCAGTGAACTCAATGTACCGAACCCTAAAAAATACACACGCTTGCTAGTGAGGGTTCTTCACTTCAGATCACCACCTATACTGTGTTTTATCCATTATTTTTATCTTGCCATCATACCTAACAGAACGATTTTCTTAGTACAGATTTTTAATAATTGGGAGGTGGTAGTGGTGGTAAATATTTTGTTCTGAACTCTTTAATTTATGCTGGAAACTAAAAACATCTTTAGGTGTTGTGGTTACAAAGCCTTCAGCTGACAACTTTAATCATGGATGTTATTAAAGTAGAATCCAAAGAGCAGTTCCTTTGCAGGCACTGGGTAAGGAAGGCAGCCACCATAACATGCATCTGGCAACCTGTGATAACAATAAATATATCCAGAAAGATCCATGCCAGCAGGAACATCTGAAATACATAACATATGGAGTGAGGATGAGCCCAGGATGCCTTGATTTTAATAAGAGAAGGCTGTGTGTTATCACAGGTCTCACAAGCTGAACTTCTGATGGAAGCAAATTAATGAGAATCTGAATCGCTGTGAAATGAGAAGTTTGAATAACAACTAAGTTTCCAGCCAGTCATCTTGCTGAGAAGTGACACACAACAGACCTGGCTTTTGGGAAAGGCAATACTTTTGTGCCTTGGATAAGAAACGGGATTTTTCAAGCAGAGACATGAAAATAGAGATGGGCACAGTCAGAAGGTTCAGAGCCAAGTCAGAAAAACTGCCAGAAACCGGAAGCAGAGGTGACTTAAATAGCTTGGATCCAAGTTTTGAGTGTTCACTTGCAAATGTCTTACTCAGAACTATTTAAAATATAATCTGCTAGTCTGAAGTCAGTGTTCAAGCCCTGGTACAAGCAACACACTGAAAATAAAAGCTTCCTTTTTCCCCAGGGTTCTGTCCTACCAGCTGAGCAGCTGGGGCGCAGTGTACTTGCCATCATGCCACCATTTCTCCTTTTGATTTTAAACACCTTTCTGGCACTGGAGAAAGGCTGGTTTGTAAAATGAGATCCTCTTGCAGGCAACATCATGTGAAGGAGTGATCAGAATCACTGATGGCCGTTACTGGGGACAGCAAGGAGTAAAAGAGTAACTCTGAGCCTAGGAGCCAGATTACGTAGAGGCTTTTCCAGTAAAGCCAGCTACTGCTCATTATCTTTCTCTGAATAGTCCTTATTTATATCTTTGTTGGTTTACTCATTGCAACTGAAATTGTAATACTCACCTTTTGCAAAAATGGTGAGCTATTGCAGGAGAAACCCCATTGTGCAAGGCAGCGTGCCTCCAGCCAGCTTAGGATCATCTTTTCCTTGTAACCATCAGGAGAAATGTGTGAAAGAAGTCAGCAGTTAAAATGAAGAACCGTTCCTGCCTAGCTCCATAGAAATATGAGTCCTGCTGAAAATAAAACCTTCTCAATCAGCTCTGGCATATTGGAGAGCTGGCCCTAGAGTTGTCACCTTAACATTGTCATTTTGATTGTAACAATGAGTTACAGATCAATTAGATGAATTGTGGTAGATGCAGCAACTTGGGACATCTGGGTTCTAACTGTGGATGAACTAACTGTGAGTCATGCATGAAAGAGCTGCATGATTTCTATAGAAATTATTAGTATTATTACTATTTTTACTACTACTACACCAATAAACATGGGTACAATTCCACAGACTGCATTGTACTTTTGTGTTCTTATGAAGCAGAAATAAATAATATCGAAGAGCCACAGACCCGCACTGATCTGTTCTCTTCTCTTTGTTTATCCTTCAACAAACAGGTTTTGGTTGGAATTAGCATATCACTTGTGGTTTTGTATGGCAAAGGTGTGTCTGGCTAGAGATTTGCTTGCAGAAGCATAATCTCTAATGAAAAGTGAGAAACTTGGAGAGGTGTGAGGGAATGGGAGCATAAAGAAAATAACCATGAATGTGGCTGAATACTGCTTTTAACCCACATAAGAAGAAAGCTGCAAACTAGAAGATGTTCTAGATTAAAGAACAGTGAAGGATCATAAAACAGATTGAAAAACACTTGTTAATGAGCTGCCAGCTATGACTTTTGACTTCTATAATATTGCTCAAATATTTACTCTCATTGTAACTATTGATAAATGGTGTGTCTGTAACTACTCTGTAACTCCAGCCACAGTTTCCAGCTTTTATGTATGTCTGTTCATAATCAACTCAGAGTCAAGGCAAAAAAGAATGTGCTAGGACTGGCTTATTTTAACCCTTGTATCAGTTTTTTCCAAATGGTTTCTGAAGAGAAGTGTTGAGTCTATGTTGTGACTGCTCCCTGTGGGTCTGGTCTGTTGTTCTGTCTCTGTGGGAACATTTGTATGCTTAGGGAGTCTGTGCCAGGGTGTCAGATGTAGATGTGAAACTTGGTCAAGATTACTGAAGTGCTGCATATCAAAAT